ATTTGACTATTATTTGCTTATCTATAGAAATTAAAACTATTTTTAATTTTTATTATGATATTAATAGTAATTTATTTATTGCATTTAAATTACATTGTATTAATGATTTATTTTGCATTTGTTATATTTTTTTTTTTACAATGGATTGCTGTAGTTCTCGTTGCATGGAGGCTGTTGATTCCACCCAACCGCAACGGTGAAACCTATTTGACCCCCAAAGATGACTTCAGGAAGAGGTTCCAACTGATGTGGTTCCAACTGATGTGGTTCTGGAGACTCCAGCTTCAAATGCTGATATACAGGTCGAGTCTCCCAGTGATGAGGATACACCTGTGGATACTCCCAAGCAGAGACAGGGATGGGGGCAAGCTAAGCCCGTGCAGATGCCTACTGTCACCCCCCAAAACCCAAATTCGAGGCGCGACAGACGTCGTGCACTCGTGAGACGGGTCCTACAAATGCACAAGGCTCGAAACTTATCAAATTCACACTCTGATACCATCAAAATCTGAAGATCAAATTATAAAATCTCTGATATCATAAAATCTCCAAGTACACTCTAGCTTACAAGATCATGATTTCTAGAATCTATATCAATCTCGAAATGGCTAGCTTTCTAACTCGTCACTTCCCGTGGTTTCCCCGTCCTCGATTTCACATCCTAAAATGGTGGACAAGGAAAAACTATGAGATAAACTCAGTAAGTAAATATGGAGTGCCCCTTATCAAACTTAAAGCATGCCAATAAGTACAATCACGAAAACAGATACAGTACGGGCACGAAATAGACGTCTCCTCTATAGGTCACGGCCAGTGTATAATCCCCACTAGCAGGGCCACGATTTACTGGTGTATAACCCCCACTAGCTGGGTTGAACGAACCGGCTCTTTCACTAACATGTCGACATGTGCTAGCGTTTATAACCTCCCCCACTAGCAGGGTCACGAATAACATGACCACATCGGAGACAAAACAGGCAGAAGTTAACAGGAAAATCACGATTCACAATCACTTTCAGATCATCAGGACAATCACTTAAATTTCAAGTAGGCATGCTCAATTTAAATGAAAGCATAAAACATTTCACTTCAAATCAGTCATGCTTGTGTAAAATGGGTTTAGTTCTGCCACCACTTCAAAACAAATCAAAACATGCTTTTAAAACAGTACGGGCATTACCATAAATTACTTACCTCACTTGCATAAAACCAAGCACTCAATTCACGCACTAACTGACAGAACGATCAGGAACCTAATCAAAACACCTCAGAATTAATACCGGACTATCACAAATTCAAGCTGAAATCATCATTAGGATCATTCCTAATCACAATGCTATTTCCTATCAATCTCCACATTATAAGATATCTCCAAATTCGTTCTCATATCACAAACTAATCATTTAAATTCCGATTAAATGTTGGTCCTCGGGGTGTGAACAGTAACCGGTGAACGGTGCCGATGAACAGTGACCCTGACGTGAACAGTAACTCCACTCCCACAAATTGGCCAAAACACTAACTAATCTCATGGGATTTTCCTCCAAAAATCACATAGCAGTCCATTAACACTCAATCATATAAACTCCACTTGAACCAAGCTAAATCATTGTAATATCCCAAATTTTTGGGAATATTTAAGTGTAAGTTAAGGACTTGATTGTGAGAAAAGATTGTTTTGGGGCCTAATGTGAATATTCTGAAAGTTGAGGGACTTAAAGAGGG